AGGAGAAATGAAAGAATCAAAATAGAGATATGGATGTTTTTATTTTTTCATTCTAAGGGGATATTCTAGCAGAGATGGATTTTTATCAGGAGAAATGAATTCAAAATAAGGAGAAGCGGTTCATCCATATCCTTTCTCATGAGGAGAAATGGAAGAAAGACAATAGAGATATGTATAATTTTATTTTTTATTCTAAGAAGATATTAGTGCTATCGTAACTCGTATTGGAATGTGATAGTTTTCGTAGCGGAATAATAATTTTTTTGTATTAGTATGAAATGCATATATTCAATGAACAGGGTATGGTTATTTTGATTTTTTCCATTGCTTGCAATAGAACATATTCTGTGTATATTATTTAAGTGATATGGTTTATTTCAGCACTTGAAAAGAACACATGTCAGTGAAAGTCGAAAGAATAGAAGAAGAACGCATGAAGATAAGAAAGCAAAATTACCATACGATCATAGATGTAAAAGTAAAGGAGAAAATCCTGTATGATTATATACGAAAGAAAAAAGAAAAATATGGTATAGATATATATGTGAGAAAGTAAATTTAATGTAGTTAATGTTGAAAATTTAATATGTTTTGGAAATTTTCGATCTTCGTTCGATCATTATCAAGCGTTTAACACAACCTGATGTTACAAACAAAAAAGATTTTTACTCGAAAATATATGAAAAACACGAATAGTCATTATGCATTCTTTATCATATAATAATAAGTATAAATTATCTTATATGTAATCATCATTCAAACAAAAGATCATAAACATGAACACGAATGATTCTTAAAGTCATTCCACCACTAATTGTACTCAATTTGTTTAATGCTACTTATATGTATCATTAATGTATGAATATCAATAATCTTAAGATCTATTGTAACATCTTGTTATAAAGTTGTGGTAAAAAGTTAATAAAGATCGAATGAAGCTCGAAAAGTTACATTAAAGTACAAAATTTTCAACATAAAACTACAAAACTTACTTTGCACTTAAATTGATAAAAATCTCAAGATTATTATTATTATTTTCCATACATTACTCATACATAGTAGTATTAAACAAATTGAGTATAATTAGTTGTGGAATGAATTTAAGAACATTCATGTATATGATTATGATGTTTATGTTTCAAATGATGATTACATATAAGATTATTTATACTTATTGTTATATGATAAAGAATGCATAATGACTATTCGTGTTTTTTCATATATTTTCGTGTGAAAATCTTTTTTGTTTGTAACATCAGGTTGTGTTAAAAGGTTGATAATGATCGAATGAAGATCGAAAATTTCCAAAACATATTAAATTTTCAACATTAACTACATTAAATTTACTTTTTCATTTAAATTGATTAAGATCTCAAGATTATTATTATTATTTTTCATATATATGTGAGAGAAAGTAAAAAATACTATATAATCATATAAATGAAAGAATGGGAAACAAATAATTTATATGTTCGCTCATGGAAGATATTCTGGGGGATATTATTTTTTACGAGTAGAAATGGATAAATAATGTGAAATGTTTTATTCGTATCTTCGCTCATAAGGAAAAATGGAGCTTGAAAAAAGATTTCTCTTTAAAGAAAATATAGATATCGTATTGATTTAGATGTTGAATACATATATATTCAGGTTTGTTTGATTTCCGTTTAAAATAAAAAGGATTTCTCTTTGCGGTGTATATCGATAGGGTATAGAATAATTCATTGAATAGATGTCGCTTTTGGTTTTTCCATTTCTCCTTAATGTGTTACTTTTATTGGGGTAAACCATTTCTCCTTAAAGTGGAACAGTTTCTCGGTCGACTTCTCCAATGGTCCACTGCTGTTTGAAATGTACTGCCATTGATTGGTACATGATCATCAAATACTTCAATAAAATGAACAAGTATTGATTGAGATAGTTTAATATTTTCCTGAAATGACAGATTAATTTCATTATCAATTATTTCACATCTTAATCCACTAAAACCTTTTTGACAGATACATTTGAATTTTTTATTAGATACAACATGTTCATCAGTTGGTATACATTTGCCACCATTCAGACATGTTAGATTTTCATTTGAATTACATATTCGACTTTGAAATAAACATTGAGAACCCCATTTATTAGAAGGGCAAACACATAAAGATCGATTATTTGGTAAAATACCAATGCATAATGAATCATTTGAACATGTACAATGATGTGAAATGTTACAATATCGCCCAGACCAGCCTTGATTGCATCGACAAAATGTAGCACCATTTCGATGATTTGAATATTTCATACATTGACCATGAATACAATGTTGATTTACACAACGTTCGAATGTATCAGTTGTACGTGGAATATTCAGTTGTACAGCGAGACGATATACAGGTAGAAATGAAAATTGAATTGGAATTAAAAAACTTCTTCGATATGCGAGAGACATTTTTTCATAAACATCGATATGAATGGAATAATTTTTATTTTTATCTTTTGGTCGAGTTGAATAGAGTAAGTACATATTGAATTTAATATCACAATCTCGCATATATAAATAACTAAATTGTTGATGTGAATGAATCAATCGATCATCACTATCATCGATTAGTAAGACTACAATAGCAAATAGAATTTGTAGAGAATCAGCATATGTTTGAAATTTTAAAGTGAGACTAATTCGTTGATTTTGATATTGACACATATTTCCATAAAAACTAGGTGGACATAAACATGTTTCATTTGTTAAGTTTTTTTCATAATCTAGCCAAACTCGTAGAAGTAAACCACGATGGCAACGTTGTTGTTGTTGACGAATGATTTCTTGATTAATAGATAAAGGTAGTCTTATCATTGTTGTATTTTGCTTGATAACATTGTTCATTGCACCCAATGAAAAGTTTTTCTCACGTGGTTTGTCCTTATCTACTTTACGTTGATTAAAAAATTTGTCGATGTCTGAACCAGTAGTATCAAGTTCATCGGAATCCATATACACAGGTGAAGAATAGTTCCGTGGTATCGCACAAAATTCATAATTAGTTTCATTGCATATTGAATCACCACAAAAAAAGTGGTAGAAAGTACAATGACTCCCTTCACCATTCTTACAATGAATATTATAATAGCTAGCCTCAAAATAATCAGATCGACATAGCTGAGGTTCATCGGTAGCACCAATGCAGTCTATATTACCATCATTAGCTTGTTTAAGTGGTAAACACATCAGCTGATATGTTTCAGATGAGACACATATATGATGATGAAGTGGACATGATAATGCTGGTGACGGATCACAATCAACTTCATCGGCACCATTTAGACAATTCCAAAATCCATCACATCGAGTATATGTATTATTACATCTCCAATAATCACATTCTGTCTCATCAGTTTCATTTCGTTGATCAATCTCAACTGATATCAGTTCAATAAATCCATCACAAATCGTTGAAAATGAAATATGATTTTTGATGTGATAATCATCTGAGTCTTCATCATCACATAAACCATATTCATTAAATCCACAATCACATATCCCATCGTTTTCTAATGTTGTAGAAATACAACGATCTTGTGTAGTACATCGTATAAAACGATATATTCCAAAATTCGAACACGAATTTTCAATTGAAGAACATTGTTCATCATCTTTGTAATCACAATCGTTGATTTTATTACAAAGAAGATTCTTGGAAATACATTTTGAAGAGTTAAGACATTTATACATATTTAATGTGTTACAACTTAAAGGTTCATTGTGATTCACTGTGTTACATTGATGAAGTTGTTTAAATGAAGGTAAAGCATACCTACCATTCCACGCTGTTCGACTAAGCCCAAACAAATCAAATTTTAATGGAAAATCTTCAGGACGACGACATGTTGCATTATTGAATGGTAATAATGTTCGATCGAAATAGAATCCACTACAAAGTTGATCATTATAGCAGAGATATCGAGGTGGTGGTATAGGACGAATTGGATTATGGTTCAACACGTCTTCTTTTGTATATGAAAAGTATATATGTCCAAATAGAACTGGACTCGATGGCATATACAGCATATCAGGACATGTTTGATCAATTATTTCTGCAAAATTTCCATCGGAAGAAATATCATCACATATTAAATCTGATAATTTTTGTATGTTCCAATGGCAATGAATAGCTAACCAACAATCATCCGATACGTTTTGTGGTTTGTCAGTGAACATCAATTTTTCTATTAAATCTGTACGCTTTTTAACACATGAACTTGTCATCTTCATTCGGAGTCTCGGATCACGTTTAGAACATGTTACATCTTCTGTTGAAAATGTTGGTTCACTGCTCATATTTATGAAGATAGTTGAATCAGAAAGTTTTTTCTCATCTGTTTGATCAAGACATTCAAAAACATTAGAACCATCTCTAAAAAATGTTTTTTGTATACATTGTTCATTTCGACATCGATATTCATTGTCTTCACATTGATTGATATTTAATTGCCAACAAGATTCTTCATCGATTCCATTTCGACAATCAACAATACCATCACATATTTCACTCCAATCAAGACATAATGATATAGAACCACGATCACATTCTAAATGAATGTAACATGTCAGTGTTGTTGGTTGATATTCATGTAAATAATAATCATGAATCATTTCATTTAATGTTAAATGATCAGATTGATAAATTTCTAATGAATATTGACATAATGGGCCGAATCTAGGTGGTGTACAATTATAAAATCCATTTATTGGCATTACTACCGATGTATTTGAGATTAATCGATGATTCAAATATAATTCATAATATTCAATGATATCCAATGGTGTTGACCAAACATGTAATTGTTCACTACTAATATTTCGTTGATAAAGTTGAGCGAAAGTAAAATATTGATCTTGATTATTTTTTTCGATACTCCACTGTGATGGCCATTCACTCATACAATATGAAATAATTTCATATGGATCACTTTCTTCATTTTCAATCCAAGCAGCAACATGAAGACAATCATGTTGTAGACTACTATTACTTTCAGTATTATTTGGCCAATGGGTGAGATCAAGATTGATTTGTGGTAATCCATTTATTCCATAGAATAGAATGAAATACAATAAATAATTCATGAACAGCATCGTTGAAAACCATCAAACGAGTGCAGAATTAAAAGTTTAAGCTATTTGACTATTTTTTCCCCAACAGTACTTATCTAGAATGTTTGTCTAATAGATTATATAAAAAAATATGAAATAAAATAATTTTTTCTTTTATCCTGTGTATGATATTCCTGTATTTTCTACTTTGTCATATAACTATACATACAGACGGATATCTGCCATCTGCTATTAATTTGCGTAATGTGCCTGCAGAGCAAAATTCAAATAAAAAGTCCTTTTTTTCTCGTTATTTTTACATCATTTGATAGAATGTGAGAGCAACTGATCACGAAAATCTACTTTTTATCTTTTGCAAATGCTTTTTTTCGATCGAAAAATACAAAATACTGAGAAGGAGTCGTTTTTTTTAAGTTCAACATCCAAAAACGGAATATAAAAAAGTTGTTAAATCAATTTCAGATGCAAAACTCTGTTGGCAGTGGTGCTTCAAATCGCGTTGATATTGTAATTAATAGTAGCACTTTAACACATGCGAGATAATGGGACCCACTATATTTTAACAAGAAACTTAATAGAAAAGTACTTACCTTTCATTTATTCTTAGGCAGAAGATTATACTTAACGTGTGATCTGCTTCGCCTTCACTAGTTATGACAACATTCATTTCATAGCCTAATGCTTCTTGTTAAAACAAGGAAGATGAAAAAAATCATTACAATCAGAACAGAAAGTTTTTATTTCTTTTGTTGTTGCATGAGATGTAGTCAAAAAATCCGGAAAAAGAAACGTCTGGAGGAAGAAAAATCGAGAAAAAATTTATTCGTAGTTTATTAATCGTCAGAAAAAAGAACAAGTAAAAAGGATGGAGATGAGAAAGACAATTTGATAGAGTGTGGGTGAGGGTATCAATAAATAATAATCTCATATTCACACCTTCACTCTCAAGATGTTATACGTCGTCTCGATTAATCGATTATCGATTGAATCAGTATGCAATAGTTATCATTTATTCATAATTGAATCTTGTAAGATGTCGCTGTATTTTCATTTGATTATTTTACAGGTTAAGGATTAGTCATTCTTTTTCTCTTTTTTCCTCCGCATTTTTTTTCTTTCTATTATTTCTCCAGTTCCTTATGGCAAAGAGATTTAAGACATCAATCGTACAAAGACTCAACATGAAAACAATAAGACCAGAAAATAATTATTTGATATCATTCGTTACAATTGTGTGAGCGGGTGTGGGTCTGGGTCTGGGTGTAGATGTGGGATTACAATACACTACTCACACCCATACCCACAGTCTCAAGATAATTTTGCACACCAAGATGAATGAACTCTCAAAAGTTGTTAAATTGGCGAATACGTGCATTTAACTCTCTAAATTTATTTATTCGTTGTAATCTTACAATCATTTATTTATATGCAATTATAGTTTAGAATAACCAAGCAATTAGATGGTCACGTTTTTATCTGTATTTGCTCTTCCCTAACGTTCTGGTCTTTTCTTCGTCGGATTTGAAAATTTTTCATCTTGAGGGACATATATTTGTATAATTTGTTTTTCTCCTCTTCTAATTGGCAATTATTAATCTCTTACGCTTTTACCGAAGTATTCATATCTCGATGTAAGTGTTCATTACGATTAGCACATACCCACTTAGATAGGAAGAACCGAAATAACGTCTGATGAGATAATCAAAATAGATCTACTCTTTTTATTTATTTTATATATTGTACACATTTATTCATTGATTAACACAATAAATGATAACTGAATGGATTGCTCTGTCTTGAAACTTTCGTTTAAATCAAATAACGTACGAAATCATAGTAGACTTCTTCGTACTCATAATGAAATGTCGTTCTTTTAGAAAAGGAGCAGCGAATCCGTAGGATGAGCGTTACTTGTGTTTTTAGTAGAGTAGTAAAATGCTAATGAGTAAATAAATGTTAATCATCGATAAGCCTTAACAATGCAAGAGAATGCCGACGCTGTCCGAACCAGAGTTTGCAAAAGTAATATCAGGTTTATTATCGCTATTCACGTCGACGACTGCTATTGATATTGGGTTAGTGCCAACTGAGTAAGTTATTTGAGCATTAAACGTACCGGTGCCTGTGTTGAGAAGAACACCGACGTTATCCGAAAGAAAGTTAGTAACAATAATATCAGGGTTACTGTCGCTATTCACATCGACGACTGTTACTGATACTGGGTTAGCGCCAGCTGCGTAAGTAGTTTGAGCATTAAAAGTGCCGCTGCCTGCATTGAGAAGAACACCGACGTTATTTGAATCAAAGTTTGCAACAATAATATCAGGGTTATTGTCATTATTCACGTCAACGACTGCTACTGAGTATGGACCAGAGGTAACCGAGTAAGTAATTTGAGCACTAAAGGTGCCACTGCCTGTGTTGAGAAGAACACTGACGCTGCTCGAATCATAGTTTGCAACAATAATATCTGGTTTATTGTCGCTATTCACATCGACAACTGCTACTGATAGTGGACCAGGGCTAATTGAGTAATTTGTTTGAGCATTAAAGGTGCCGCTACCTGTGTTGAGAAGAACACTGACGGTGTTTGAACGAAAGTTTGCAACAATAATATCAGGGTTATTGTCATTATTCACATCGACGGCTGTTACTGATAGTGGGTTAGTGCCAACTGAGTAAGTAGTTTGAGTATTAAAGGTACCACTGCCTGTGTTGAGAAGAACACCGATGTTGTTCGAACCAGAGTTTGCAACAATAATATCAGGTTTATTGTCATTATTTACATCGACGACTGCTACTGATGCTGGCTGAATGCCAACTAAGTAAGTAATTTGAGCATTAAAGGTGCCGCTGCCTGTGTTGAAAAGAACATTGATGCTGCTCGTATCATAGTTTGTAACAATAATATCAGGTTTATTGTCATTATTTACGTCGGCGACTGATACTGACCATGGCTTTGCGCCAGCTGAGTAAGTAGTTTGATCAAAAAACAAGTTGCAGGCTATCACAAACAAAAATTATATTTAGTATTTTGAATAATCTAGAGACAAAAAGTCATCATTGAATTCTTTAGGATTTGCATAGTGTTGCCTCAATTAACACTAAGATGACGAACGGCATCGCGTAGCCTTTTTTTCAAATAATTTTTTGTTCCATTCTATGACTCTCTGGAGTGTGCGTGTAGATGTGGGTATTATATTAACCTTACTCTGACACCCGCACCCAGTGCATAGCACTGATAATAACATACTTAGTACGTTAGGATAAACATTGTTATGTATCGAGAAAAGATAACAATATAATGAACTATCATGTGTTTAGAAAAATCGATTGGGCAATATTAATTCATGTTGTCTTAAGCTTCGTATACAGATACTACCGTGCCTGTGTAGAACGATCATTTTTTCATCTTGAGAAGTTTTCTGTCCAATAAACTCCTCTTATCTGTTCGAATTTGAGGTGATTCGAAGTACCAAACACTACATTTTAAAATCTCGTGAAACTATTTCTCTTCTCAACATCTGACGTAAGCATTAAGTATATAGTCCCACACTCACCAGTTGTTGTTGATGTTGTTGGCGTTGTTGTCAATGTTGAAGTTAATGTTGTCGATATTGTTGTTGATGTTGATGATGATGTTGTTGTTGAAGTTGAAGTTGATGTTGAAGTTGATGTTGATGATGTTGTTGTTTTTGTTGATGATGATGTGGTTGTTGACGTTGCTGTTGATGCTGATGATGACGATGATGTTGATGTTGATGTTGTCGTTGAGGTCGATGATGATGTTGTGGACGATGTTGATATTGTTGTTGATGTTGATATTAATGTTGTAGATGACGTTGCTGATGTTGATGATGGTGAGATCGATAATATTGTTGCAGGTGTTGATGATGACGTACTTGGTTCTGTTTCAAAAAATAGAATTAGCATGAGGCAACAGAATTCAATAAGGCTTTGTCAAGAATCGAGCACTTCTTGATTCATTAATCTGGTTAGTTTGTCGTAGATGACCCCATTCTGAGGACAGATACTAATGATTAGCGAATACTACAAATTACAGTCAGTCGAAAGAATCATTGATAGAGGCAATTTGTTTTTGAGAATTTAAAAAGCATAAATATCAAACTCATACAAATTATTAGAATTGGGGTCTATAATTAACTACAAAATTTTTGAAGTATTACTAAATGAAAACGTGCAACTCATATCTGAAATAAACTTACGGTATTCTTGAGCATTTAATATTGATATTGATGATTGATTAAGAAATACAAAAGTAGAATTTGAATAAAATTCAATAAAAATTGTACTAATATTTGAACGAAATAGTTGACAAGTTTGATTTGTTGAAAAATAATTTAAAGCAGATATTGAATCATTTACTTTTATCATTTCACATATACATTGATTTTCTGTTACATTGAGTAAATTCTTATATATATCACCAACTATTATATAACTCTGTACTTTACCCATAAGAATAGAATTACAAATAGAAAATAACGATAAAATAAATATTAGCCAAAACATATTGTACTGCTTCAGTTTCTAAAATATTTTATAAATATCTGACTAACCTTTCTCACTATTCTTTTTCTTTTCTTTTCTACAACACTCTCTCTCTTGAGTTTAATAATTATTCATTCCAGAAAAAAGCACTATACGTTTTGCAACAAGTTCTTTTTCCAACAAAAATGATACATTCATAACTACATTATATTGTTCTTGTTTATTTAACTATGTAGGGGATTGAATCCGTTACCGTCAAGATATTAACAAAAAAAAAAAGTATGAACAGACATATTCTCCTTAAAATTATTCTCCTTTTAAAATATTTTCCAAAATATCACGAAAGAGAGAAAGAAAAAATCGTGATATCAACAAATGACGTCTTCTATACGCTCACTAAACACAATTATCCATTGGGAAAAAATTGCTTCAGCTCATTTGACATAGGTTTAACGTAGGCGTTGACAACAACAGGAAAAAACACATATATTCTGTTGTTTTTCATTAATTTTGTCAATGACGTCGAATATTATGTTATTTATGACATTTTCCAAATAAAAACTATTGTACTTAAATATTTTTCTTTTGTATATTAATGTAGCCTCACTATGTTCTCTAATGAAATATATTGAAATAGAAAATTAAAACTAGTTTGTAACTGAGAGCATATAACACTGTTTTTTATGAGGAAATACAATTTTTCAATCATTAATACGTTTCTTTGAGTTATAATCTAAAGATTCACTCAAAAAACTATGCACAGTGATACATTTTCTAAATAAAGAAATTCCAGATGAAATAGTACACATCCTATAAAAATTGTTTTTATGAAACAAGTTGAAATTTGACGTGAACATCACTCATATTATATACTTAACTACATTATTTTAATGGCATCTATTTAAGCGCTAAGTAATTTTAAATGAAACTAAATAAAAAATTCTATTTTTGGTTAGTAATTTATTGAACGCAATTTACGTATGCAAAATTGTTTTGCAAAGTAATTTATCCTCTTTCTCGTCGAGAACGATCTTGCAAGTGCAAATTGTTTGCTTATGTGTCCGCAGGGTGAAGAAAACATCGAAGATCAATTTTCAGAAAAAGACATTTCTTGAGGTATTTTGATGCGTGGAATTCAAATGTGGGCTTCATTTGCTCTGACTACTGAAGGAGGGTGTGGATCGAGAAAAGTGACGTGAACTGATAGAAACCGAGTTGTTGGGTAATGCACTTTATGGATATCCAAATGTTCTCCTGCTTGTGGTGCAGAGTATGACGATCATAAATTGTTGGCTTTCTTGCATATACGATTACTAATACTTCATTTGTTCGTTAAAGGCTAGTTCGATAAGCCACTGGTGCCGACAGCTCAAATATATTTTGATCTATGTTTACTACTGAATAGGATGCGAGTATGTGCTAAGAGTAATGAACAATAAAGAGAAGCAAGGTTTGCAATTGTTTTTCCATTAAATGTAAAGAGGCTGCATTTTTACGAGAAAGAGCTGAGCGAGTTCTCAAACGAGCGTTACTTATTATGTTGATCTAAAAAACACGTTGCTGAAATATTGTTGTATGATTAACAAATATCGCAATAAACCGCAAAAAAGAGTGGTTTTATTTTTTTTCACGGCGGAAAACATTGTTGAATCATGCTTGTTCTTTGAGAATCGCACGTAGGAAAAACGTTTTTTGTAGGATCAAATATTTGATGAATTCTACAAGTTTGAGAACATGTTTATTGATTATTATGTAGATGATAGGGATTTATTTTCAAAAAAACTGCATTCGTCATCAAACGAACAAAAAAAAACTTAGTCATGCATCATTTTCTATCTGACATTAATTGTAAGTTCCAAATAAATATGAATTATATTTATTATAACATTTAATTCTTAACCTATATACAAATATATGAATATATTTCTGTACTTTTAAACTTTTTATATTAGTTGAATCTTAGCCTCCATGAATATTTAACTATCAAAGATTTCCTATCATTCTGTCTACGTCGGTTTGAAAGTTCTTGTAGAAATATCGTCTAAATTATAGCTTCATTTCTATAACAAAATACAAAAATATCTAAGGATTGATATATCATCTAGATTGATGTCAAATAAAACAAACTTGAGCAAGTTTCATTCATTTCTTCAGGGTACTGTTGAATGGAGTCATGATGATTCATCGAGATATTTTTTTTCTTCTCTCTTTTGCGTTCTTCTTTCTTATACATTGTAATTACTCTCGCTTTCATTGTGTCTTTTCTTAGCTGCACATGGTTGTATTGTGGTTAAAGGTGTGTATTTGATTACATTATAATGTATTAAGTATGAAAAAATAGGTCCAAAAACCATATATTCGATGTATTTTCATAATGTTTTTACGTTTTCGATAGAGAGCTATATATTTATTTGATTGGTATGTTTTTTTAATCGTTTGAATGATATATTATTCATATTTTACAGTGTAGTAAGGGTAAAATAGTAGACCTTGGCGAATAATATTTCTCTTAATAAACTTAAAAACTACAATTTACTTGTATTATACCTTTTACTGTTTAATTTTGGTAGGTGACATGGAACTTAATAATATACAACAACTGCTTAATGATAATATAATTTTATTTATTGGAGCTCCGCTGGCTGGTAAAAGTACGCAAGGCACTCTTCTTGCAAAAATTCTCGAACGACCGTATGTATCAACAGGCAATCTTTTTCGTAATGAAGTTGCTAGTGGAAGTGAACTCGGTCAGAAGATAAAAGTATACATGGATTCAGGTGAATTGATTCCGAATGAACTTACTATAACTTTTCTTACGACTAAATTCAATGATCCAATCTACCGGAATGGTATGATTTTAGATGGTTTTCCTCGAAATCTGTCACATATGCCTATTCTGGAAAATATCTTAATGAATCTAGATCGAAAGATTCTTGTTGCTATATATTTGGATGTATCGAAAGCTCAACTCGACCAGCGACGAATACATCGTAGCCGAGCCGATGACGATAATGAAATTGCTGAACGTCGTTATGCTGTCTTTCAACAAGAAACACTACCTCTTGTGGATCTATTTGAATCGAGAAATGTATTAATCAAAATTACTTCCAGTTCAGAATCTCCAGAAGACATTCATCAGCGTATTCTTTCGCAATTAGCTATGTTCATACAAAAAAAATGAACTTTCCTTGATTCCTGTTACGGTTAAAAGTCAATCCTCCAATGAATAATAATATAAACAAAAATAACATCATTAATATCGACGATTTGTGCATTTACGTACTGATAAAATACGGAAATATCATGAACATATACAAATCTTTGAAAAACTCTATACTTTTAAATCCCTGCTTTTTTGTAAAATTTTCATTTTTTTGTATAAGAAACGCTAAAATATGATCTTTATGTTATTAGAGATTGTTTTGATTGCGATGTATGTGAAATAAGTGAAGAAAAATATCGAGCGGTCAGTGTGACATTGTCGGTTCTGTTCTTATGATTCCTTCTCATTTAATGTATTGCTCTCACCTTATCTTATTCTTATTTCATACATCATGTGAAACTTTGCTTCTATCTCGTTTTCTTCTTGTTATCTTTTTCTTTCATGTATTTTCGTTCTTTCTGTAGGGTAGATACATAAGTGTATGTTTTATATAAAAATGGTGCGATTTCATATTAAGAAGTAACATAAAATAGTGAGTATACTTCTTCTACAAATTTAAGACACAATTTTATTGCATTCTCGCTATATCTGACTTGATTCAGCCAGTAGAATATTACAAAACTTGTATAAATTCGAGTTGTACCACAATCGATCATAGTGGTAACCGACTCTAAATTGATTGTAGACAGTCAATCAAGTGATGATGAAATTTAATTTACTTATTCCACCAAGATATTATTAATGAGTATTCTTCTGTTGTACATGAACATTTTATTTATATCAGTACTATTAAAAAAGAAGCTAATTGTTGCATTGATGATTTCTCACAGTTAAAATTTTTATGTAATTTTCTGATAGGTTTGAGAATTCTCTACTTTGTGATAAAGAATAAAAATTTGATCAAGTATCTCATATACCTATTTATTAGACGAACATTAAGATACAATAAACTACTAAAATAACTAAAGCTTAAAGGATAGGAGAAGAGGGTAGGGAGGTGCAAAAGGTTATAGGATATATATATATATAATTAAAAAATAAAAGCAATGTTTATATTTTGAGTTAATTTTCTTTTAATTAAATATATCCGAAGTGCAATCTCCACCTGGATAACGCATTTCATGAGCACGTGATGGACCATTAGGTTCATCTTTAAAATTCATAAAAAAATCTTGATCAAGTTTCATTCCACCATTTTCACTGTCACAATCAATTTTAATTAAAAATGATCCACCCTCTTTGATATCAGGATAAAATTGATTATCCCATGATGAATAAAGTGAATTTGTAAAATATAAACGTTTACCATCAAGTGATAATTGAAACATTTGTGGTCCACCTGTAAGTGTACGACCATCTTCAAAACAATTTTTGTGTTTTAATAAACCACCAAGCCAAATTTGTCCAGTTAATTTTGGATTTGATGGATCACTTACATCATATTGACGAACATCACCATGAAACCAATTACCAAAATAAACTAAATATACAAAAAAAGAACATTTAATCAATTAATTCAAATTCAAAATATCTACGAAATTTATCATTCATTGAAAGAACAATATCCGAAATACAAGCTGGTATTGGATTTCCATCTTCGCCAAGAACGGGATCAACTTGAATAATTTTTTCTGCTTGCCATTCATTAGCTTCATCTTGAAAAAATCGATATATTGTACTACCTAATGCACAACAGACATAACCAAAAGGAACTGATGGATCATGACAAAAACGTGTTTCAAGTGGAATATAACCATCTGGTCCAAGATCAACTGTTTTGATATATTTACGTTCTGACCAATTCCAAAAATGTAATTGACGACCATATTTATTTAAAGGTACATCATTTGGATCAAAACCTAAACAAAAATAAATATTTTCCATCAAAAATTCGGAGAAATTCTTACCTTTATCAAAAACATTTGGAGCAGCCCATTCACTACTAACCATAACATTATGTCTTGGTTGATACCAAAAATCATAAAATATTTGATCGGGTGTTGGTCCACCATCAGTATTCCATCGACCAATAACATCAAATTCTTCACTGAGTAAAAGAAAACCACCAGGTAATTCACCTTCAGCATTTCCCAAACATGAAAGCATTATTTCGCCACTAGCTTAAAAATAATTTTCAAAACTAAGTTTACAAGAATTTTATAAATATTTTTTTTTTCGTTTACCTAAACAATGAATTGTATGTGGTGAACTTAAATCAAATTTTTTTACTTCTTCGCCTTCAATTGTTTTATGTAGCGTAGGTTCAGTTTCATTGATTGTATCAACAATATAGATTCTTGATGATTTAAGACAACCAAAAATAAGATATCGTCGTTTTTTAGTACAATCACCATGACATGATGAACAAGCATTCCAACCATAATGATGTATTTCATCATTAACATTTGGAAAATACATTCGATGAAGAACTTTTTGATAATTTGGAGATTCTGGATCAACATCAATTGTTGCTAGATAATTTGGTTGATCATCTTGACATGGTAACATTGAAACATATATGATTTTTTCATTTGGAGCATTTGCCATAGCATCAAGTGGACTAGCATAGCCTGGTCCTTTGCAAGGTGATGAAGACATAGTAAATTTTTTACACGAAGATCGTATATAAAACAAATGAATAGTTTCTATCTTTTTTCTCTCCCTTTTATATCCACTCGTTTTCTTTGTACTTGTTCTCATGAGTATTCTATCTCTTTATTGTATTCGAAAAATATTTTCTAATATCCCAAAAGTGTCAACTAATACGCATCATTATTAATTATATTGATAATATATTTTTCATCAATATGATTAATTCTAGTTGAAAGATCTTTATTTTTTTTCGATTAGAAGAAATACTATTGAGAATCATTTTCATATATTAATATAATGAAAAGAAACACAATTATCTAATATTAAAAAGTTCTATTGTTTGAATTATCGGAGTAGTTTTAAGAAAATGATATGATTCGTATTGTCATTATAATCAACAATATTATTAAGAGGCTTTTTCATGTTTCAATTATTTTGAATAAATTATTCTTTGAATATCATGCATTTATCATAAACATTAATTTTTCGATATAATAATTCAGAATAAGTTCGATTTTGAATTTTATTCATGGATAATACTCATTTGTTTAATATTATCTAATAATTCTTACAAATATTAAACTTTTATTTTTAATTACAACGAAAATTTATATCGTGCATTCTCATGAGAATCAGTCGTGAAATAGAATGTATAGTTTATTTGTTGACTAATTTAGATATTACTTAAAGTAATCGATTACTATAGAAGTTCTATAGAGAATATTATTAGTCGCTATTATATTAACAATAGTTATATATTTTTTATCCAAAAGAATGTATATGAATACATAATGAAATAGGTTCTTCTTAAAAATAGTAATATTATCCAAATAGTCATTGATATTTATGATGAATATCGATTGAATTAGAAATAATAAAACTCATTAAGTAGTATAAATTTTGTATAATCAGGTTAATTAAAACAAGATCATTTCTTTTTATTTGTGTCAATAATATCAAAACTTTTATATTTGAAGTATAGTAGTCTATAATCCAATTATAAGCAGTGTTGCCAACTTTTCCGGTTTTCCCAGAAAAATTCCGGATTTTCCAACTTTTTCTGGATTTTTTCCGGGTTCCGGATTTTCGATTATTTTTATTGAACTAAACTTTATTCATCTGTTAATACTCAACAAAAAAATTTCTATTTGACAACGGCTCAGTGGCTTATATTTATATATTTAGTTTATTCTATTTCGAATTTGGATGTGGATTTTCTTTTGATTTATTGAAACATGTGTTTTTTGAAATAATAAGTGGTATAATTGGGAACAAGATTTAGAGAAATTTATTTTAGCCGGTAGAAATTAACTGTTAAAAATCTTTTCCGATTTAACAAAAAAACGTTTCCGGAATTTTCCGGACTTTCACATTAGAATTCCGGTTTTCTGACTATGACAGTTGGCATCACTGATTATAAGACACTAAAACAACTTGACTTTATAAAACAAACGCTCAATACTTTCTTGTTCAATAGATGGGAGATGTTATAAGAAAAGTTCTTTGAGCTGATAAAACAAAGAAAGTTATTCATTGATAAGTTTCAGATCAGAAGTATCATAAAGTAAAAAAATTATTTGGAAAATATACAGTACGGCAAACTTGATGAATTTGCGTTACTCTTTATTTTTCTCTTCTTTTAGAAAATCTTTTTTCTAAACCTAAAAATTGATGAACTTACTCATGTAAGAAAAGTTGTGAAAATCATGATTTTTATGAGAAATCGATTTAAATGGCACGATTTTCATAGCATGGTAATCGATTATGTTCAAATAATCAGTTAAAATCGATTAAAACCAATTATGTTTTTACGAAAAATTAAATATCATTGGATTTTAATTGATTATTTACAACTTAATCGATTTTAATCCATTTTATACAATAGTTTAATCGATTACCAAGCTATGAAAATCGTGCCATTTAAATCGATTTCTCATAAAAATCATGATTTTTACAACTTTTTTACATGGATTTAATTTAATTTTTATCAAGTATAAATATACTGATTTCTTATTAATACAAACGCATCAATCTGTTAATCAAGATTGAATTAATAAAACATCAGTAAATTTTCATGTTTACAAGCGTAAGAAAATTTAAAAACAGCATATGAACTTTTTTGTAACGTTATACGATTTAATTATATTTACATATATATCTGAAGCAAACTATATGATAAATGAAAAATTCACTTTAGTTAACAACTAAATCTTCTTTGTATATAAATATTTAAGAAAAATAACTAATTTATTTTTATTCTATCGAAAATATGATATTTTCTTTTTAGATTAAGTTCATTTTTAGAAAAAAGAACTAAAACTTTCATTCGATAATATCACATGAGTAATATATTTTACTTGTTTATCTCTATTTCTTATTTCGTTTCATATTTGCATAACCTTCGTTCTCTAGCATACTTTTTTTTGCATGTGATAGAGTCACTTTTGTTATATTTTCATTTATTTTGTGATCTCATCAATGGCTAGTAACAGTAGTATTGAAGCTCTGAAAGGTACATGGGATTATGTATGTATATGATATTTATTAAGTGTATAATGTAATACTAGGCACCGGATTTTTTTTCTGATATTATTAGGTTAATGGTGATGATATAGGTGATTTTTTGAAGGAAATTGGTGTTGGTATGGTAGGACGTTTAGCAGCTAAAGGTATTAAACCACGATTAGTCATTACTGAAACAGATGGTATATGGACACTTCGCACAGAGACAACTTTGAAAACAATGACGTTAAGTTTTACACCGGATATGGAATATGAAGACACAACACCTGATGGTCGAGAAGTTAAAGTAATAGTATTCAATTGATATTAATAAATTTAATTAATATTTTAATTTTTAGGGAATTGTTCGATTTGAAAATGGTAAATGGATTCAAAAAACAGTTGATAAAAATGGTAAAGAATCCATGATAACACGTTGGATAGATGAAAAAGATCAACAACAGATTGTAAGATATTCATGAAATTAGTTTCTAACCATACAATATTTATATATTCTAATTTCAGATTATGGAATCTGGAAAAGTTAAAGTTCATAGATTTTACAAGCGCGTGCAATAGATTCAAACAAGAAATAATATTAAACGTACTATATTTTCTAAAATTTCTCTAATAAAACTTTACACAAAATAGAAATAATTTTTTTAATTTGCTATGATTACATTTGTATATGCATAACTTTATTAGAAATCAATATTCAATATGTATGCCTTAAACATGAGGGTGTGTGTTTCTTTTCTTTCCTCTCACTCGCACCATTAGGGTTTATGATAGTGCTCAGTCGATGAGATCATATATATTACACTCTATAATAAGAATGAATCAATATTCATGACTCAACTCTTAAACCTATTTGAATGAAATGACTAATTCTTCATTTCAATTGAGTACGATCTTCTCTATGCTATTAGATTTTCAAATTTTGTTTCTAATTAAAAAGTTATTATTCTAGAAATAAAGAATTTATTTTTAGTTTCTTATCGATTTTATAGAGTTCTAAAAATAAATGTTTTCTTCAATAGTGAATAAAACTGAAACCGATCTCAGTATATTAACATACGTGTTTTTATTATAACTTTTTTTTTTGCTTTTTCTTATCTTACGTCTATATGGTTGCTATCAATACGATGTAAATATACGTAAAACAACAGAAAGGAAACAAAAAAATATAAAAATGTGTGTTTACGTGCATTACTGAGGTAGATGATGTTTGTTATTGTATTGTTACCAATAAAAAGAAACTAAACAATGGTTTTTTTTCTCTTTATTAAAAGAGCACGAAAATGAAAGTCGTCTTATAATTTATTTCCGAGTTGAATACTTTATCTGCCTGTGTGCGCTGATAAACTAAGGTAAGATAATATTTATGATGAATATGTTATTTCACTAAAAATATTCTTCTTTTTTACTAATGAGTTAACTATTATAGATTCATAATTTATCAGTAATAAAATTATTATTGAATGATGAAATTCCAAAAGAAGTCTTATCGTAACAAAGACTTGTATAGTTTCTAGATATTCTATGATTCCCATTCGAACAACCGTTATTGAGTTATAGTTGTTAATAAGTTTGATGTGATATTCGATCATAAATTCATTCAACAAAAAAACATTATCAGCAACATAAAACTAAAAATCGACATAGATTTGCAGACCGTTGAGTAACGATTCTGTTTTTTGAGATCTTTCATACCTTATGTAGAGAGTTTGAACGTAAAAAAATTAATCATTTGTCTTTGTCTCACATTCATATCTTACTTAATAATTAATATTAAAGATTATGGAAACCAAGATTCAAAAAATAAATGAAATATTTCAATCTGGACGTCATAAACAAGCAATTACTGATATACAAACATTAATTGAAGAATCATCTACAGATAATGAAGTTTTTAAAGCTTATAATTGTCTTGGGAAATATCTTAATTTAATGGGACAACATAATGAAGCTGTTGAAGCATGGACAAATGCGTTAAAACTTCTTGAAGATAATGCTGGTGGTGTTGAGAAGTTTAATGAAGGACAACTAGTCGAATGGATTAATATTTCTATTGTATTAGCACGAATTATGTATCGTCAAGGTTAGAATAATATAATTCATCTTTATAAATTTATTTTTGATTATAGGTAGAGAAGGATCCGGTGTATCACATAAATTTAATTCCGTATGTTATACTGCATCTAAAATGAATGAAAGTGAAGAAGAAGAATGGAAAAAAGAACGATTTCAAGCAGCTGTAAAATATTACAAACAAGTAATCGATAAAATTCCTCAAGGTGCATCAGAAACAAAAATAAAAATTCGAACTGAATTAGCACAAGCTTTATTTACATCCGGAAACTTTGATGAAGCTGTTCAAATCTATGAAGACGCTTTTAATGTAAGTATATACCTAGATATTAGATTTAATAAACAAATCTCTGAAAATAATTTATATCTTATAGAATGATGGAGATCCTACATGGCTTTATAAAGCTGCTGATTGTTCATGGCAACAAGAAAAAAAAGAGCAAGCTTATACTAGACTTCAACAATTAATAACTACGGATCCAACTTTTGCAGATGCCTATCAATTATGTGCGACTTATTTTACAGAGAAAAATGATATAACTCAAGCTGATGAATATACACGTCGATATAAATTCTATTCATGGGTTCCAAAATTTTGTCGTCATATTGAATATAATGAAGACAATGTATTATTATTGGAAACAATACAATCTGATAAAGCTTTAGAATGTATTGAAACAACATTAACAGAAGATACATCAAAACGATCAACAGAATTTTTAGCTTCGATTTGTTATCATCATTATCATGGCGCAGTAGAAAATAAAGCATTTCAAGTACTTGAACAACGTGGAATTGCTAGTGAAGGTGATGAGAGAGAATTTATTGGATCATTATTAATGCATCTTATTAAAAAACATCAAAGTATATGTACAATAAAAGGTGCAGCTAGTGCATTAGCTGGAATGAAATATGATGAATTATTCGATATTTTAGCTAACTTATTACCTCAAGATGTAAGTTGATAATAATTATGAGATCTAATATGTATTATTATTTTTTTAGCTTAATATTTGTTTTCCTATGCATATTCCAAATGCTCTTGGCAAGTTAGGCGATCGTCGAGCTATTCCACTTTTGATTAAAATGATCGAAGAACCAGCTGACACGCAAAACGATAATAGTGATTCATCGGATGATTTTTTGTTATCTGGAGGATCAAGTCGATTAATCGTTGAATGTTGTTTAGCACTTTCATCTTTCAGTGGTAAATAATTTCTACTTAATTTTATTAATATACTTATATTGTTCTTCTTGTTTTTTATTCAAGATGATGAGAAAGTAAAAGAAGTTTTATTAAATGGAATTAATAAGGAAGAAATTCGTGAAGCTTGTTTTGCTGTACTTGCTGTTTGTACAGAAGAAAAAAAATACTTCGATGAACTTGAGAAAATATTATCAGATGGTAACACACTTGATTATATGGTCATTGAATATCTTCAAAATAATGTTAATAAATCACAACAAGTTGAAAATCTTTTGAAATTAAATGAAGCACTCCTGGTCAAAAAACAACAAAAGGAAAACGTCGATACTGACTAATAAATTTATATTTTTTTTAAGAAATTTTTGACATAAATAAAATTTGTTATTCATTTTGCCTTTATTATGGAATTGAAATTTCAACTAATAACTTCAATTTATTTGAGTATATACATGAGAAGTAAAGGTATAACTTTTAATTACAAATACCAGTAATAAACTCTTTGATATTCTCTTATATAATGTAATAATACATTCTAATCTTCTTTAGATTCAGAGCATAAGTATAAGAGGATCTGCGAGGTAAATTAAAGAGTATATATTGCGTTATTTTATACCTGTTTTAGAGTGTTCAGATATTAAAATTTACTAATTCAACTCTATGTAAAAGTGCTGTCGGTAACAAAAACTGCATTGTCACTTTAAATATCCTGTGTTCTTTTTAATTTGACTAAAGTTTAGAAAAAGAATCCTATAAATAGCATAAAAATATCTCATACCAGTGATTAAAAACTATTGTAAATGTAAATATGGCAACTGTAAGGAAGAATTTGATAAATTTTTTTCAAGTTCGGTACGAAACTTAAAACGTCCTACTTGCACAATAAATAATTATAGTTACAATTGTTCTTCTGAAAAATACGACTGTTATATAAACTATGTTTAATATTGAAGAACATTAAAATATCTAATTTGAATTTTTAGTTATCAGAGCTATTAATGAAGGTTCTGATTTCATTAGTTAGTCAATTTCGAATATTAGTATTTTTAATATATTCATGAATCTATATTTATTTCACGCTCCTTCTCATTCAACTAATATTTTAATATAGGTTTTAGATCATTTTACTATATAACCTTCTTTGATATATACCACGCCATTTTATTTAATAGATAATTGAAAGTATAATCTTTGTCATTATCCATCGAGAGCTAATGGAAAATAAGATTTATATATCTATCAAAGTTCAATCATTTAAGTGCACATTAACATCTATATATATACACTCGATATGCACACTGTGCAACATGTAGTGTTTCGTGCAAGAATACTAGGCGTTTATACTCAAGAAAACAAGTAGCATATCGAGATGAGATGTTGTAGATAATAAGATCAGTTTTTTTTCAAGAAAAAGAACGTGACTTTATCTTAAAGATAGTGCAAACTAGAATTAGATTTCCGCTACACACGATAAAATATTAATGATAGGGTCAGAGAAAGACAGATGAAACCACAGAGTAAAAATAATGCATAGTATAGGAATAATTTATAAGTACGATCCAAACTATTTTTATCAATTCAATAGACGCAATACAAAAAATTTGATGATAATATTATGTTGTTAAGAGCAAAGAGCTTCTGTCATTACAGAAATAATTCCGTTATATTTTTTTATCATTCTTTAAGCCAGCAGGTGATACCAAAAAAAGCTTCATTAAGAAAAGATATCATCACGCCTCTCTAGTTATTTAAAACTACGCTATTCCTTCTAAACATTCATATTAGTTAGAAAGTCTATCATATTCTTTTTTTATCACATTTATTAATACTATCATAATTATTTTATAAGATCCCAAAGTTCACTCTACTAGCTATATTAGATAATACGAGATTATTTATAATGAAAAAAGTACATCAGATAGAATATAAAAACGTTTCTCTTCGGAGATGGTAGAGTAGCATCAATGACAATAGTTAAATTGTAAAAAATTATTTCCTCCGTTTTTATTCTATATTAAACTAGATATCTGAAAAAAATGTGTAGCTTAGAGACAATTTCAATTTTAATCTAGTATCTTTGCTGATAGTTAGATTTCTTCTCATACAGCCATAATAGCAAAAACTTTGATTATATTGATAGAAAATTTACCCGATTTTTTTATTATAATTTAGATTCTAAACAAAACGTTCAGATATGCTTCGTGATATGCTCTCGAATACAACCAATGATGTTGACAACAGTACTTCTATCATCGCTGATGCTTCGGCATCTATGTTAATACCAACGCGCGTAGTCTTTTATATTTTTTTATTATTAGACATTCCATCAGTCATATGTAGTCTTTTACTTCTGTATTATTTTATTCGTTTACCTGAAGTACACCATCATAATGAATCGAATCAAATTATCATCTATCTTCTAATTGGCTCATTTTTAGTAACATCACTTGATATTCCATTGATGTTACCTTATCTCCACAATTATAGTTACATACCTTCAATGGCACATCCAAAATTTTTTTGTATCTTTTGGATAATGTATGATTATGGTATGTATTCAATAAATTTATGGTTGATGACACTTGCTTGTTTGGAACGGTATCTACGAATATTTTTCAAACAATTAATTACACACAATGCAAAGCGACATTTTTTTCTGTATTACGTATCAGGTGTAACCATTGTTCTATTTGTCTTCTTCTGGTATTTATATTTAATTGCATTGTATCCATGTGAACAAACTCAATTTGATTTTACTCAAATTCTTTGTGGTTTTCCATGTTACAAAACTGTTGGTAGTGTAACAATTCAAAATACTGATTGGGCTATTGCTGATTTATTACCATTATTTTTATCGATACTTTTTATTTTCATATTATTTTCACATGTTTTTTATCAGAGACATAGAGTCAGCAAACATTTAACGCAACAAAATATATGGAAACGTACACGTAAAATGTTTTTACAACTTTTACCAATTACAATTATATTTTTAGTATTTAATATGCCTCTGATTATTGTTGGACTTCTTGCTATTTCAAATCCATGGTATAATACAACACCATACTTCTATGTTAATTCTTTATCCTATTGTTTATCATTATGTATGCCATTTGCTATTCTTTCTAGACAATCAGTCATACAGAAACGACTTGCTACTTTATTGAGATTAAGACGATTGAATCGAACTAGACCAACAAATATAAGTGTAATGCCATTGCGTTTAGGAAACACTGTAACAGTTAGAAGATCAATCCTAGCTACTGGTATGCTCAATGGTTTATAAAAATATACTTTCATCGTCCAATTGTTATCGTAATCACACATGCTGTTTTGTAAATAGTCTTCTTCTAACTTTTTATTTCTGTTAAAAATATATTATAAAAATACAAACTAAAAAAAGAAAAATTAAAACTCCAGGAATCCACATTTTACTTTATTTCAATGGCACTCCTTAAGCCATTTGACGCCACTAGTCGATGATCTTGTCTCATTTCTTGATTATCAGACAAGATTCATTTTGAAAGGAAAGATGCTTACTAGATTCTCGAAATGAAAGGGATTTGGAGAGACGAAACACAAGATCGTGGACTAGTAAAGAAAATTTGGAGAAAAAATGATCGAAAATTTAAAACTTATTTCGTTGCTTTTATTCAACTAATAATAGAGCATCAGCCAATGTTTACGTAGAAATGATTATCAACATTGGATTTTAATTCCATTTCTTCTGTCATAATTTAATAAAAATGTGAATATAAATGCTAAGCAGCTTAATTTTAATCTTGTACATCTTTATTTATAAGAATTGTTTATTCTCTCGTTTTCTATTTAATTTAGATTAAACTTATTGAAAAAAAATTTTTTCATTTTATTATTAAATTAAAAGCATATCAATTCCTTTTTATCTTGTTTCATATATAAATATATGATTAAAATCAATAAAAAAAAATGATAATAAATTCAAGTCAAGCAAATATTAATTTTCCAAATAATTTTTATTTTCAAAAGATAGTATTGAAATAAAAGGTAACCTTGGTCATTAGTAGATTATTTATATAAGTAAATGATATACACACAAAAAAAATTTTAACGTTTTCTTTTCCGTACCCCCCCCCCCTTGTTATAATAGAAGACCACCTCATATAAGAAAACTCTCTCAATGGGTATCGTGTGTACGATATAATGAAAACTTCTTTGATTTTAATTATGTATAACTTGAAGAATCATTCAGACAATTTTGAAGATAAAATGTGTGTGAGTTATCATTAGAAGACCCTCTTGAGAAATTTGTACATTAAAATAGAAGATTCTGAGTCTTTTATTCTGGAAGAGAGTGAGAGAGTTTAATATACTAGGAAAAAATATCAATCAGTCCGCGATTCAATATTGTTGTTCTGTTGTTGCACAACGTTGTACATGTGGCAAAATATTTACTTTCGTGTTCATTGAAGACATAGAACGAAGAAACACGATTTTTTTTCATACGTAAGAATAATATCCTTGGTTAAAAGGACGACAAATATGATTCAATCAGGGAGTATGATATTACTTTTTTTTCTGTTCTCAATGTTTATCGACATTGACTCTTCTTGTTATTTTCATGTTCACATACTAACATATATAGTTATCATCGTTTATTTTTCAATTTTCGATTTCTAACAAATAGAACTACATATATATATATATTATTCCTTTACTGTTTAGTAAATGGCATCAAAATCTGAGAGAACTCGATGTATAACTTGTGACAAAGAAAAACGTGCTGTTAGATGTGAAGGTTGTTATCAATTATTCTGTTACGAACATTTTACAGATCATCGACAAGCGTTAAGTCGTCAATTAGATCAAATTGAAGCAAGTCGCGATCTTTTTCGACAAAAATTTAATGAACAAGCTAGTCATCCACAAACATCATCATCATCATCTCATTCACAAGTACATTTATTAATGAGACAAGTTGATCAATGGGAAGAAGAATCAATTAAAACTATTCAACAGACTGCAAGTGAATGTCGACAATTATTAATACAAAATACATCAAGAAGTGCTCCTCAAACTGAAACAAATTTAGCTAAATTAACTGAAGAAATCAGACAAACACGTAAAGAAAATGATTTTAATGAAATTGATTTAAAAAAATTTGATGAACAATTAAAACAATTATCAATCGATATTGACAAATCATCACATATGACAGTTCAACAAAGTTCCACAACACTCATTAAAAAACTTAGTGTTGTCATATCAGCTAGTAAGTTAATGAAAAACTAAATTCTTTGGTAGGTTAATAGACCATCAAACATTTATGAATGATCGAGTCATTTAAATCTTATTTTTCAAGTGTTTCTGAATGAGTTGAATGTCAAATATTTTGTCAAAAGATATATTTGATCACCATGAACATGTTTTGAAAAGGGTGTCTTATTTTCATCTTTCACCTTCATCTTCATATACAAACACACGTATCCTTCACCCGATGCGTATAGAAAATAATTGAGTTAGAAAAGAAATAATTGATAAAAATAAGAATGGTATAAATTTTTGTTTTTATTCAATATTGTCTTATATAATATCTATATAGTTATAGAAATAACTCTCTATATTAAACGTTATTTAAATAATGTTAAACAATAGTCTAAATTTTTTATATCATTGTCCTTGATAAAATTTATTCACTATCATATTTTTGAAACCTTGACGTGTAATATCTATTAAGGATTCATAATAGAAATATATTTTTAAAAGTTTTTCAATATTCGAATATCAATCTATTTTCTATAGAGTGCGTAATACGTGATAAATTTATCATAAGATTTCTTTTTTTTTTGAGTTATTAAAAACAAGGAGGTCCTTTTGAAATTAATTCTAAAAAATTTAAGATGAGTATTAGAATTTGAAGAATGACTACAATAAGAGATATCAATTGAATAGAATATTTCAGATCAAAGATCTTCAGTAGATAAGAACAAGAGATTATCTGAAAGTGACCAAAATATTACAATTAATGCTTTTTTTTCTCTAGGAAAACTTCTTTCTACAACAAGTATTAGTAATAATACAAAATGGAAACAATATGCAGTGACTGTTGCTGGAGGAAATGGTGAAGGTAATCAATTGAATCAACTCTCTCGTCCATATGGAATTTATATTGATGATGAAGATCAAAGTATTTATATTGCTGATCAATGGAGTCATCGTATTGTTAAATGGAAATCTGGTGCAAGTCATGGACAAGTTGTTGCTGGTGGAAATGGAGAAGGAAATCGACTTGATCAATTAAATCATCCAACAGATTTAATTGTTGATAAAAATAGTGATTCTCTTATTATTTGTGATTGGGGAAATAGACGTGTGGTACGATGGCCTCGTCGAAGTGAAGCAGATCAACATATAGTCATTTCTAATATTGATTGCTTTCGTATAGCTATAGATAGTACTGGAGATTTATATGTTGCTGATTGGAAAAAGAATGAAGTTAGACGATGGAAAGAAGGAGATTCAGTTGGTATAGTTGTAGCAGGTGGAAATGGCAAAGGAAATAATGCCAATCAACTCAATGGTCCTACTAGTATTTATGTTGATGAAGAACATTCACTTTATGTATCGGATCATCATAATAATCGCATCATGAAATGGATGAAAGGTGCTAAAGAAGGTATTTCTGTTGCTGGTGCATATGGTCAAGGAAATAGTCTTACACAATTATCATATCCTCAAGGAATAACTGTCGATCATTTACATAATATTTATGTCGCTGACTCTGGAAACGATCGAATAATGCGTTGGTCGAAAGGATCACGAACAGGTAGTGTTATTGTTCGTGGACATGGTCAAGGAGAAAAACCAAATCAGTTTAATTGTCTTGGAAGTGTAACATTTGATCGAAAAGGTAATCTTTATGTTGTCGATAGTTGGAATCATCGCGTGCAAAAATTTGATGTTGACTCAAACTGAAATTGTTTATTTGTTTTTTTTTGTATTTTAAAATGACTTTTGATGAACAAATTTTATTTTTTATTTTATGAAAGAATAAATTTAACAAGAAAAAATCAATTTATTCTTAGATGTATGAATATATGTTATCTTTCAAAATATCTTATTTAATATTTCTTAGCTTATATTTAAAAAAAAAGAAAAGGAGAATTGGATTATAACTATTTGTCTAAAGTTATTTTTGATAAATATTATTACTTGAAGTTTAACACGTGTGATAAGAATATTTGCATTTCTTTTTTTCTTGTTCTTTCTTCAGTTGATAGAGGTAAACATTTTTGTGAATTCTATTCAATATGCAAGCGACAGAGCAAACAACGATACGTTGGCCAGAAGAATTTCAACCAGATCGATGTGCGGTACATGTTAGAAATGAACTAGAAATTGCAGCACCTGCTTCACATGTCTGGTCATGGCTTGTACATGCACGTCTCTGGCCAACATATTATGATAATTCACATAATGTTGTCTTTGTCACCGATACTGACTCATCAATACTTCGTGAAAATACTCGTTTTACTTGGCGTACATTTGATGTAAATTTACAATCACAAGTTCGAGAATATGTTGAAGGTGAACGAATTGCTTGGGATGCACGTGGTTTATTAGGTTTATATGTTTATCATGCATGGTTAATTATACCACGAGATGAACACAATTGTCTTGTCATTACAGAAGAAGCTCAACATGGATTACCTGCACGAATGAGTAAATTGTTCTTTCCTAATAGAATGTATACTCAACATCAACGTTGGTTGGAACAGCTTCAACTTATGGCTAAACAAGGATTACCATCAGAAAAATAGATTTACAAAAAATTCATTTTAAGTACGCGAAGTAATATATTCACTCAGAACAAGAGACCGACAATAATTATAAATCATTAAAAACTCGATCAAATTATACTAGACGTTTTTTTAAATATAAATTCTAAGTATTTTTATAAATATTTCTTGTTATCGTAGCCATCGATTTTTCGATCAGTTTGTACAGTATGAGTATACGGTGTCTCACGTATGACGACAAATTGATGGTTCAAGTTTCTCGTTCATATATCACGAGTAAAAATATATCTAGTTGTTAATACAATAGTTTTAAATAAAACGATTATTGAAAAAATTAATGGGTGAGAAATCGTTAGAACTGAATTTTCTTTTTAGTGTAGTTTAAAACGAACTGCTGTTAGGTCACATAAATCTGAAAATATCATTTTTTGTCATATATTTGACTATATGCGAGATGATATAAATATATGTTTCCATTCAAGAACAATAATACATCGTTCTTTGTTGTTTATCCTCTTTTGATTGCAAACTAAAATTTTATTTAGAAGAAAACAATTGCATGTGCTACAAAACAAATCACAGGAATCAATTTGAATAAAAAATACATCACATTCTCATAAAAAAAAAGCAACGACTAGCACCATCGGAATTTATAATTTCGATTGTTGTTCAACATTCACTGGTTTTTTTATATGATCTGGAATTTCATAAAGTGAATGAATTATATCTTGAAAATATTGTCGGACTGCGGTTCGTCTTGTCTTTAATGTTGATGTAATAAGACCATTTTCTTGTGAGAATGGTTCCGGATGAACATATATATTGCTTATTGTTTCATAATGTTTATATTTATAATCTTTTGCTAATCGTTTTAAATCAGCGAAAATAATTTCTTTAAGTTTTTCATCTTTACATAATTCTTCAAATGATATATTCGCATTTGCTTTCGAAAAATTACTTCGAACATATTCTTCATCAGGTACGACAATTGCTACAACAGTTGCTTCAGTAGATATTCCATCAACAAAAAGTTGTTCTATCCATCGTGAACGAATATAACCATCTTCAAGACGTTCAGGTGCGATATATTCACCTTGACTTAATTTAAATATATGTTTTGTACGATCAATAATACGTAATGAACCATTACTTGTCCATTCACCAATATCACCGGTATGAAGCCAACCACCTTCATCAATAGTTTGACGTGTTTTTTCTTCATCACCATAATAACCTAAAACGTACATAGACAAATTTATACGATAAATTTTTAATTCTAAAATTTACCTTTAAAAATTGATGGTCCTCGAATACAAATTTCTCCTTGATTATTATTACTTCGATAATTTGTACCGGGTACATCAATAAGTTTGATTTCACCAAAAGGTGCAGGTGAACCAACAGTACCACATGATGTATCAGTAAGATGTGTACTTGTACCAACTGCTGTTGATTCCGTTTGTCCATATCCTTCAACAATAGGTATATCAAGTGCCATACGAAAAAAATGTAAAACTTCAGGTGTTATAGGTGCTGAACCAGTTACCATAGCAAAAGGTTCTCCACCAAATAAATTTCGTATTTTTCGAAAGATTAAACGTGAAAATAATGTTGGTTGGTCATTATGTAATGCTTGAGAAATAAGAAAACGTTTTATTTTACTTTTACCAACTTCCGCCATTATTTTATCGTAAACTTTATTTAAAAC